AAGCATATTGATAAATTTCTCCAACTCATACAAAAATACATTGGCCTATTAAAAGGTGCATATTTATAATCTGTTAAATATCAAGTGACTAGTTAATTTCACATGAAAGTATTTGCACAGCTGAATCTATCACTAAATCTTTCTTTTTTTTTTCTTTCACTTGCATTAGGAAACTGTATTTCCTGTTAAGAACCAATAAAATTTACTTTCTAGACCACCCTTTAGTTGTTAAGAACAATCTGCTTAATATGTAGTTTTTCTTATTCTGTTAACTACAAAAATGATAGTAAATACCATCAGCAACTTGTTCTTTGAAAAATTATTAAATCTTTATTGAGTAGTATGGGATGGATGCCTTTGTATCTATGCCTCATTGTCCTTTCTACAAATAAGATTAATTTGAGAGGCCAATCAGCCTAGTTCTACAGTCCTGGATTTATAGAAAGAGAAAAATCATATTCCTTATGTAAGCTTCAGAGTGTCTGGTCACATGAAGAGAGTTGCAAGATAATGACCAATTTTTTCCCACACTTTAGTTTCATCTGATTTCTGTTCTCAGAATAAGATACAAAATACCTATTAGTGATTTGGGCATTCTGTGTTATGAAGCACAAGAAACTCCGTACTAATCAACTAATAATAATATACATTCTATTTCAAACTACAGAGAAAGTAGAAATCATTGTCTTCATTCCAGAATATGCATAACCTCTTGGTATCTTTTATTCAGGCTTTAGGTACTCTACAGGAGAACAGGAAAGTAGACCCCGGACATGGAAATCTAAAGAGATTTGACTTTTCCAGGTTTTTTTCCCGGTGTTGTGTAGACTCAAAAAGTAAAGAATCAAATAAAACCCTAAAAGCAAAAGAATATCTCAACAAGAATTCTGAGAATTCTGATCTTGCTGCTAAAATTAGCTCTAGATCCAGTATAATAAGGAAGGTCCCTTTTCCTCTTTACTGGAAATTACCTATGACTTTACCCTTAGGCTAACTGATTCTATACTTAATTTGTAAAACTCATAAAGCTAGAGCTCACAAGCTAATTTCTATAGTTAAACCTTTCAATTCTCATGCCATGTCACATAAGCATGTCAAAGCAAGGTTAAGAAGTTGGGCATCTTTCTGATTAAAAATCTTTTTTACTAAAGTTCACCACACACTCATATACCCTGTAGGGCTTTTATGATCTTATTGTGCTTTTATCCACCATAAATTTCCTTTATTCTTGGGGAGATCTGAGGATCAAATAGATCCTTGTGCATGCTAGGTAGGTACTATGCCCCTGAGCTACACCCTTGTTTGCCTACATATCACTAATTTTTAAAATTGTGCCCTTAATGCAAGCATTGAACAGTGTTCTACCAGACAGGTGAATGAAAAAAAAAAAAAAACTTACCCTCAAAGACCTTATATTCCTCTGGAAAATAAAGCAACTATATGTATTAAACAGTAAATGATATTGTGTATCATTTCTGCACAAAGTTTCATATCTTGAAAATAGCTTCTTTCAGTGAGCATGAGTGATCATTGTCTACGCACATGCTAGCTTGGCTTTGTTTCTGATTCTAGGAGAGGACAACATCACCATGAGCCTCTTGAAAATTCTTTAAATAATAAATATGAATAATTTGAATCCTACTTAATGACTTACCCTTGATATCTTCTTGTAAGATTTAAAAGAAATACAATCAAAACCTTTAAAATACAACCAGGACCTACAATAAAATCTCAACAATAAGGGTGAGATTGACTATCTTCAAAACCAATTTCAGATCTCTAATTTTCTATGTCACAAGATAATATATAGATATAGATACAGATGTAAAATTGAAGCATACATTTTGTATACAAATACAATCAAAGGATTTGACAATAAATACTAAAGAAATTTAAATGGTAAGATAGCTTTATTTAATTGGTATTTTTAGTGCATAAAAATAATGAAATGTCTTATCCTAGAAGGTACTGCATGTTCCATGTAGCATTAATGCAATTTCAATTCATAATAACTGAGATGGAGGTGGTATAAGGCCATATGAATGGTGGCAGAGGAGGCTGGAGTTGAAGAAAGGAGATACTATTCCCAGCAAAGTACATTATAGTAGCAAGGTTTGTACTTAACAATTCTTGGAAAAGTGTTCGTAAAATGCCAGGGATTCATTGTGAACCTAAATAATATAAAAGCTACAACCTGCCAGTGATTATACATGTGCTGCATTTGATACTCTAGTCCCAGTGACTTTTCAGTTTGTCATATTTCACAGTCATTTGTGGATTTACAAGTCTTTAAAAACTTGTTTTTGCTCAATAGTTAATGAGTAAAGTGGGGTACTTTTTAGAAAAAAAAGGAACTATTGCTCATGAGCAACTAGCTGGTAATAAATTAATTCCAGACTTGTCTTTGATGAAATCACACAAAATCTTAGAGGAAAACCAAATCAAAAGTCCAAGAGGTCTCTTATCAAGCACTCCAGTACATTTTGGTTTTGCACTATTTCTTTTCATATAAACTTGGAGATTAGCCATCTGATGTCTGCGTGTTATTCCTTCTTCAAAAATAACATTTACAAATCTTATATAAGCTCACTATCGTCTTCCCAGATAGGACTAATCTTGCAATGATTGCTTATAGATTTTGAAGGGGTTCCTCTTCAGTGATTTTAGGAATGAAAAATGCTTTAAGTCTTTTTTTCAAACCAACTTCATCCACCTTTTCCTTCAATATCAGCTCCAAATTTTAGAAAAAGTACTGGAATACTGGGGAAAAGTTCACATGTTTCTGTTCAAGCGCTAGCTTTTAGTAGTACGAACAACGAATCATGGTGAGCACAGAAGCCATGGCAAGTATAAAAGTGACAAATACCAGGAATTAGCCATATTCCATAGAAAAATCTAGGTGGTGTGATTGAAAAATACAGAAAATGTTTTAAGTTTCAAAAGTTACAGTAAAAGCATATTATCATTAATCCCTTCAAATTCTATCTCTCTTACAGCACATCTGTTCCATCATCCATGCCGCTTTCTGAAGCAGTTCTAGACATTTTCTTTTATGAGTTTCTTTACTTGTATTGTTACAGCTGCTTCGATGTCCTGAATAAATTCCAAAATTTACCTTTCTTGATCATTATCATTTGCAGGAGTCAGAAATTTCTTGGTGGTAAAACCAGTGAACCAAGTTTATGAGTGCACAATGTAGGGTCTTTAGGAAATTGCCTTTCTTTAGGATGACATCTGACAGTTACATTCACTGTATTCTCTATTTATCTCATAAAGAGAACTTTCAGAACTGCTTTCAGACATAAATGGGTTTGAAGCCAGAGGGAGTATTTTGAGTGGGTTAATGTCAATGTGTCTTTTACTGTAAGAAATTATTTCTAAATTTAAATATTTCCTGCATATTTTGAACTTCCCTTGCAAATACAATTAATATTAAATAAAAGAAAACTTTAGTGATTGTAAGCAAACAGTCAAATGTGGAGGTTGTGGTAGTTCCAAAATACTCAGGCAGGATTTCTTTTTCTTATTAGAGTCTAAGTGTTGATGGTAGAGGCTGTGTTATTCCACTCACTTAAAAGAGGATAAAATTGTGGTTCAGAGAATAGAGCTGACAGCTTAGAGGCAAATTTCTACCAAGTAGCAGAGTAAAGCCTTGAATCTCACCTGCCCATGTGAAATTCCCACTGAGTGGCCCATCCATTCCAAAAATCCATGTGGAGGACTCACACACAATGCTAAAAAAGTTTTATTAATGTAAATGTCGTTTCTCATTCTTCCTGTGTTGACTCTTGTAAAAACTACTGGCACCTTAAAACAAATCAAAGCAGGAGTGCCTAAATACGTTAGGAGTCATTCTATTCTTTATCCATAAACAAAAAGTAATTTTAAACATAAATTTCAATTTAACAATGTAATATAACTAAATATTGTTAATTTTATATTCTTGTGTCATGTGTTTTCAATACTCTATGTGGCAAGGCGGGGGGGGGGTATTAAATCACTTGTCGTATCTATCCGTCTGTGAAGGTCATGTGAAGACAGGAGATCAGTGTCCCTGTTTGAATTGCCAGCTGAACTAGCACCTGAAATACCAGGGGATAGGACTTTTATCTGAAAAATAATTGACAGATCATATGTACCCAGATGTACTTGGCAGATAGTTTCTCTAAAATGAAAGGACTTCTTCACCTGTCATTTCAAGGGAAACAATTGACAGGATTTGTTGCAAACGATAAAATTGGAGTTTTAAATGAAAATTATTATAAGTTTTGGAAACTTGCTATCAGTCACTGTGAGCTTGACAGCTTCTGATGAGTGAACTGATATTAATAAATATTATTTTTGTCTTGCTGAACAATGAAGTGTGTCAAAAATTATAATATTGCATAATTCACTGAGCCAGAATTTTCTAATGAGCAATGTATTGTGTTACAAAATTAAGTAAAAGTCTATTGAAAGTACAGTACAGACCATTAAATTGAAATTCAGGAGAGTAAAAACGTTTTTTAGCATATCAGGTTGCATCAAACAATTAACTTACAACAGACTGCCACTTAATGAGTTTTAGTGTAACTTCAAATTCAACTTTCCACAAGTTTTTAAAATACAGTTATTTGTTCCAATGCATATTTCTTTCAAGGGAGCAATTTGTGGGGGGACCACTTTCAAAACAACATATTACAGCAGACTGAACGGAGAAGTAGATTAGAGGATCCAGCTGCCTTCTAATAAAGTAGACAACAATTCATTTCACAAAATGCAAAATAAGGACACGTCTTATCAGAAAGCAATTATTTTTCATGAAATATATTAATATGAGATAAATTTGCTCTTTCTATTTACAGGGATGTTCTCATGAGTATGAAGACAGGTTAGGAGTATAGAAACCTGGACCTAGAATGGATCCAGCTAATGCTTTACTGCCATCTTTGTGGAATTCCTAATTTTACACTTACCTTAGTCACTTTTCTCATTACTGAGACAAAACACCTGATACTCACATGTTAGTGAGGAAAGGTCTGTTTCAGCTCACAGTTTGCAGAGGTTTCAGTCCATAGTCAGCTGGCTCAGAGGTAGGACAGCATGAAAAAGAGGTTTCACACATGAGAAATAGTCCCTGGCATAGGGCAGGAGGCAGCAGGCAGCAGTCAGAAGCCAGTCTGCCTCCCCTCTCTCTTTTTCTGTTCCATCCCAGCTATAAATCTACTGATCGGTTCCTCCACACCTAGGGGAACCACGGCCAGAATAACGCTAAACCCATTCAGTAATCACAAACCCTTAACCCAATATCAAGCAACCTACATCCAGCCAGCCCCAAAAGGCCCCACCTAGGAATATATAAGACATTGGGTGACAGCTAGACACAAGCCATAACAGTATTTTAATGCATATTCTATAAATGATGTTTATGGGTTTCGTGTTTAAATATAGGAGCAGAGCAAACATGTGCAACATGATCTTACATAGAAACAATGCACAAGGAATACAAAGACAGGAACAAGTCCAGAGATCTATTTCCTTTCAATCCTACCTTACAGATCAGTAAGCAGGAGAGGTGATAAAATGTGTCCACCTCAAGAGGTAAAATGAAAACATCTGTGTTGGGTCTGTGCTGTTTCTGCAAGAAAGAATTACACCCACGTGAGTCACGGAGCACGCGTGCATCACTCGGAGGATGTTCTTACATTTGCATTTAAAAAAGGCATTGCAGAACACAGAGATGTACGACAAAATCCACGAAAAGAATTTAGATTTTCAGGTGTCCGTTATCCTCTAGTGACATTAAATGACAAACTTAAAGATGGGCTAATCACAAAAGAAAAATTGTTTTATTTTACTTGCTTTGTAAACATTTTTTCCTGATCTTTGAACAAAGTCCTCACTTTTTCATTTTTATAAGAAGGTTTCCAAATTATGTAATTGGCTCTTTTTTTCAGTAACAAATAAATAACTTCAAATTGTTTGCTCATAACTTGTAAACCCAACAGGCATGTGCAATGCTGACTTGTGACGATTTGCTCCAAACCTTCACAACTTTCAGGTCACTGACTTTGAACAGGTGGTTGAAATCAGCCCTAATGGGTATATTTTAGTCCATTTATAAATCAGCAAATCCAAATAGTTCTTTTGTCCTGGAGAGTTCACTGGTAAATATTTACCAGTGTACTACTACATGTAACAAACATAAAATTTCTCTGAAGTGCTCAATAATGTTTCAGAAGGCCAAATATTCTGAGCCTAAAAAGTTTGAGAATCACAAATGCATTTTTAAAAATTGTAACAACTTAATGAGCCACTTTCAGACTCTCAGACAGTGGACTTTTAGTGTCAAATAGAAAAACTGCTGAAGTTTTTAATGGAAGATGTAATTTTCAGTATACACTTTCTGATATTCCCCAATACCTGCAGACACACATGTTCACAAGAATACACAAGTACTGCACCCGTGGCTTTCTAAAAATGCCAATGCCATCCTGTAAGTCAGCCCAGCCTTACTACAAAGAATGAAAAGTGAGGTGCAAGAAAATCCGCCTTTTATGAGGCAAAAGTTTCCTTACAAAACGACACTCATTGAAATAGTTACTAATCCACAGCTTTCCAAATTTCTACGCCTATGCCATTCCTATGAAATAACTCCAAGGTGACTAGCACATCATAAACTGCATATAATTTCAACTCCATGCATGAACCGTTTGTCAAAGCTTTACAATAAGCATCCAAACATAATTACTTCCTTTGCTGCTCCCTGTAATAATATTAATCACTTGGATTCTTTTCATATTTACAGCACTGCTTTGAAATTAATTACCAAAGCCCATGCCATTCCTGAGCAAAAACAGAGGCCACACTTGTTTTCATTAATAGACTTAAACCGCGGGATGATGTCAGAGCCTAAGGAAACACCTCTCCATACACATCTGTAAAATGTAAAATTCTGTATACTTAAAAAAAATAAATGAAAATTGGGAGAAATGTACCATGGTTTTGAATTGCTTTCAATTACCATTAAACCTTTCGGAGAGTGATTTGCATAATGTTTCATAAACATGTAGGCAGATTAACCTTTTTTAGTTAATTTATTCATTAGCAGTAAAAATTCAAAGCATCTCTTATGAGAAAATAATGTCGTGCTGTTAAATTACATGGAAACAAAGCAACTGGGACCTAGTTCCCTAAGTTTACACTGTGTCAGAGAACAAGAAAAAAAAGGAAGAGGAAAAAAATCTCCGTGTTAGGAGAGTGTTGATTAAATTGCCAGTTTGTGAGCAATTAGTGGTATTACTAGAAGATTAGGTGAAGTATTAATTAGAGTTAGGCCAAATGACTCCCAAGAAGGAAAGATACCTTCTCCAACTGTGCTACAGGTAATACACAGAGGCCTGAAAGCCTAGAATCTGTCCTTTGGGGGCCTCCACCTCCAGCCATTAAGGGATGTGGGATCCCATTTCGCTTAGGGCTGCAGGCAGGACATACATGTACACTTCTTAAAGGGATGTTTCATTATCATACCTCTTCATGCATATAAATATCTTATTGCTTTGACAAATTAGAATTCAGGGCTCAGCCTAGAAATGGGTTGAGCCATGAATCTACACTAGACCATACATGTAAAGAAACTATACGAATGCAATGCAAATTCTAAGCATGCTTTATCAAGGTAAGGTTGTGAAAAAATTTCAAAAATGAAAGGTTACTGACATGCCATAAGAGTCTGTAACAGTCTCATGATCACATAAAGATAATTTCAAGACAGGGCAAGGGAAATACACTTTCTGCATAGGGGAGTGGGTCTCCAGCCTTTGGCAGCACGCAGAGCTAATGTGGAACATTCACCTCCACATTCTAAATACAGGAACCTGCTGATTTCAGGAAGAAATTTTATTGAAAACAAAATCTTGTCTTGTTCCAAACAGCAATCAAAATAATAATGGTAACACTCATAGCTCCCTGAAGCTCAGTTCTCTTACACATCAGGACCTCCCTTCTTCTTTCCCCTTTCTCCTTTCTGCCCATCGCAATCTTGTTTATTTCTCCTGCCTACCTGTCTTCCTTCCCCAACCAAGGACCATTGTTCTACAGGGTGACAGTTTTGAATGGCCAAAACCATTTGTCTAAACTTCTGAACTCCATTCTCATAGAAATCAGAGTTGTTTCTTCACACAGAATTCTCAATGTCAGACGTTTTTGGGAATTCAATCATTCCTCGCTCTGCTATTTGTATTTTATTTAAAGAACGAACTACTTCCATACATTTCAGCACGCTAAACTTACTGACAAGATTTTTTTTAAGTTCTTGTAAGACTGCATTCATGCTTTTTCCAAATATCTGCCTTCATATGTCTATCAGGGTATTTTGCACAATTATTCATAATATCTGCCTGTGTTTGATATATGCTTGTTAAAACAATTAATACAGAATCTAGTGACCTTCAATTTTTTTAACTTGTATCCGTTGAAAAACTCAACTTTGACCAAAAGATGATTGTGTGTATTAAAGTGTTCGTTATTTACAGCTGAAAAATAGAAATGCTAACACTAATTGCTACACTTGTTTTTCAGGCATTATTTTATCTATGATTTTTTTAGAGTAAGCTAAGTATTTGTTTGTGACTGTGCATAATTGTTTCCTTGTTGCAAAGACATAAAAACTCAAAAGGTAATACAGGAGTCAGTATCTTAGAAGATATATATCCCTGTCTATTTATCCTATCTATCTATCTATCTATCTTTCTACATCTTAGTTCACTAACTTGATTCTTTTTGAGATCTTGATTCTTTCCATAGTTCTGGTCACAATCACAGTTGTATGAGAACCAAATAAAATTCAATGGTTAGGTTCAGTGTTCACCTTCCAGAGATATTTTACTCATTTCTCATTCATTTTGATATACAAACAGAATCACTGAGACAGTTGAGCTTGTGAACCAAGTTACCACTATATATATATATATATATATATATATATATATATATATATATATATATATATAATTTTTCCAAGAATAGGCAGCGGGTGAGATCTCATCCCTCACTCTGATCTGGTCCTCCCATTTTTGCATACTCAAAATGTGAGCTCTGTCCTTTCTCAAAGCCAGTATGAAATGACAAGTATCACCACTTTCTGTGGCAAGGATTTGGATAACTTAAGATAGTTATGCCCTCTATATATCTTTAGTAATTTCCATTGAACAGCACAAAAATAGAATCTAGATTTTCAATCTGCTCCCAAGGCTATGCACATCTATTCCTCAACCCTTCCCTCTTTTGAGAGGTCCCATGAGCCTCCATAAATTAAAAAACAAAAAAGGTTTGGCCTGGAAATGTTGAACCATACAAAAACTTTTTGCTTAATAAACTAATAAAATACTGTTCATAGATTAATTAATGTTGAAATATTTTCCCAATATTAATACCAATATAGCTTTTACAGATATGGATCCTGAGACACAGAGAGATTATGTATATTGCACATGATCCCAAAGCCAATAAAGATACCAAGGAGATCCCATGCTACTTAATCCAGATGTGCATACTATAAAGTGTTATAAATCATAATGCCTTGAGCAATCATGGAGAGGCAATGCACCACAGAGAGTATGCACTTTGGAGCCAGCCTACCTGGTTTTGACTCCCAGTCATATCACTTGTTATATGACCCTGAACAAACTAATAATTCACTCTCTGTATGTCTCTGTATGTTTCTTCTTTTCTGAAATTGTGATATGAACACTACCAATCTCCTAGATGGGCCCAGAGAATTAAATGTATTAATCTTTACAAAGTGCTTTAAACTTTTAGCACATAGTGAAAATTCTCAAGCAAAGTATCATCTGAAATGACTATTTCAACTAAATGGTAGAATTCTTCTTTTTTTTCTTTTCTTTTTAACCAAACAGCCTGAACTTTATGGTGTTGTACAGTTGTAGCATATCACATCAGGTTATACCAATTTGGTAAAAGAGTTTATTAAATGTGATCTCCAAATGATAGGCCAGCATGTTCAAACTTTTGACAGTATCACCAGTCCTCCTCAAGTTTTCTAAAAGGATATTTCTTAATTGTGAAATTTTAACTTATTACCATCTTCTGTGCTATTACTATAATTCAAACTATTATTGTATTTTACAAACCTTTTGCAATAGCCTCCTAATGGTCTTCCAGCTTTTACTTTTCTTTTTTCTTTCTTTCTTTCTTTTTTTCTTTCTTTCTTTCTCTCTCTCTCTCTCTCTCTCTCTCTCTCTCTCTCTCTCTTTCTCTCTCCCTGCAGTGCAGTGCAGTGATCCTTTTAAAAAGGTAGATCAAATCATTGATTTGATTTCATTCATTTAGTATTTTTTGCATCATACTTGTCCTGCCTTATCATTAGAAAAGAAAATTTTGTTTGAGGAATGTTACAGAGGTATTTTTTCATTGTTCTTTGTTCCACTGATATAAGATTAATTCATCTTTTGTATTTTCAAAAAATATCATTTTACTATGCTCTTTATAGTTGTTGAGCCTTTTGCTGAGCTTTCACTAACATTGCATCCTTGCCTTTCCAACAGTGTGACTTTGATTTCCACAAAGATTACTTACAAAGACATCGCCTATTATTGGTCTCATAACCACCTGCATACTTCCAGATCACAAAGCAGAGCGGAGATAACAGAAGACCACCGTGTCAGTATTTGA